CTTCCCCAGGGTCAAAGAACCTTGTTTCATCAAAGGTGACATCTCTTGTGGTGATGACTTCGTCTAGGGCGGGCACCCAGATCCCGTAGATATTGGTAGCAACGTAGCCAACAAGGTATCCGATGTGTGCCCTGGCGTTGGTGCCGAAGCGAGTGCTGTGTTTCTCACATTTATACCCCTCTTGTAGAGGGTAGGCGCGTGCTCCGTAGGCATAAATGCCACCCTAGGTCGGCTTTGACTCCGTATTGACGAGCCGGTCATGTGCGTTCATCCAAGCCTGGATAACTTCGTACGGCGTTTTCTAGCCGTGGGTTCGTGAGGGTGATATGTTGTGTAAGCGGGCAGCCGTTTTCGCGGTCTCTGGCCAGAGGTTTCCAGGTAGCCTTGCGGCCATGATCATGGTGTGGGTTTTCGTCTTGATCGTACCTCCTGCTCTCTCAGCGCCTCCGTTCGGTTCTGGTGTGCTGACTGAGGTCCTCTCGATGTCGATGCCTTTGTCTTTGGCCCGGTCTTCGAAGAAGGAAAGCCTCTGGTAATCCAGATTAACCAGCGACCTCTCGTTGTCGATCCTGATCTTGCAGATCGCCAGACCGTACTGCTTCTTGACCTAGGCTTCAAATCTGATGGCGAGATCTACCGAGTCGTTCTTCTTAGTCATTGAGAAGACCCAGATGCCGCCGTTATATTCGTCCTTGATGACTAGGAGGTATAGGTGGCCGTTGAAGCCTTCCTCGTACTCAAACATGTCTATCGAGACCCTCCAGAACGGTTGTTTTGAGCGATTTTCAGATGCTTGTCGGGAGACAATTTCGTGTGCTTTGCCTAGCCTACAGGCCTCAGTCCTTGAAGTCTTCTGTGATCTTGATCCCTCTTGTGTTGTTGACCAGCTTCTCGACGGCTTCTTTGTGTAGGTGCCCTGACCGTAGGTGCCAGAGATACCCTTGGTCCTCCCTTAGGGGTAGAGGGTCTCTGGAAGGCCGGTCTTAGCGATGAGATTGGATTGCTGGAAGCACGAATACACCTGCATCACTTCTAGGCACTTTTCTAAGCGCTAGGCACTTTGCTAAGCGCTAGAAAGCACGAGGAAAGAGCGTTATATTGGATAATGAGGAGGTTAAGTCAGGTGGGGGACTTTTGGAACACCCCTGCCTATGGAACAGCCCCTGAATCGGACCCCGCACAACACCACAAACTTCAATTGCCAACAACTTTGTCAATTAATTAGCTACAATGATGAAGTCTTCAGTATCGGATTCTCCTGATTCTTCTCTTTTAGAATAACTAAAATCCTCTCTGCCAGCCTCTCTCTGTGAGGCACGAACCTCCTCAATTCCAGCGAACTGCGTATTAGGGTCGACTTGGACCTTCCTTCTCTTTCGGCCTCTTGTGCGTTCTAGGCTTTTTTCTGCAGCCTCCAATTGATGCGCCGTATTGGCTAGTTGGAAAACCACGTAATCGAAGGCTTTTGCGGCCTTGCGTATGAAAAGTCGGTCGTTGGCAGTCCGTTTCTGGCCGGCTAGAAAAACCTGTTCCTGAATACGGAAATCCTTCGGCTTTTTAGGGGTAAACCATATAGGCCGGCCCTCTGAATTCTTATTTAGAATGGGGTTATGGACCTCTTGAAGGTCTATAGAAACCGTAGAGGTCAGTTGACCAACGTCGCCGTTAGAATTCTTAATAACAAGGCCGTTGCTTAGGGGCTTCCTGAGGCTGACCGGCCAGAGGCCTGTAGCTTTCTAGCCGGCTTTGATATTAGATTCAGTCATTCCATAGACCCTGGCTTGCCGGTAGCATTCTAGGAAGGCCCTCTTTTCAGCAACAGTGCCTTCGTCGAAGCCGGAAACAACCTCGTTATGCTTGGCTCTGTACCGGGCTTTTAGAGGGCCGAAAACCAATAAATCCAGGGGCTGGAGAACGTGGGAGGTGTGGGCTGGTAGAAATAACAATTGTACGTTATTAGAAAAGGCTAGCCACATGAATTCTTCGGTGGTATGACTACCGTGGCCATCTAAAATAAGGAAGCGCTTCTCCGAGTGGGTAGCTGGCCGAGTTTCTGGAAGAAAGATATTGCGGAGCCATGCGACGGCAGTATCATCGTCAGACCAGCCGTTTTCAGTGGGTTTCCACTTCCAGCCCTTAAATGGCTGTAAATCGCGTGGATACCATTGTTGTTGAAGGCTTCCACCTTTGAAAATGACAACTGGGTTCAAATACCGGCCGTCAGCGGAAATACATTCGATAATCGAGGTCCAAATTCGGTCTCCTTTCTTCTTTTTCTGGAATTTCTTTCTTTCCTTAGATCCAACAACCAGGCCGTTATCTCCAATGCTAGAAGCAATGCCAGTTTCATCCATATTATACCTATGCTTGGCTGGAATAGCCTCCACGCCTGGAGGCTTCAAATAGTCAAACCAAGGCCGGATAACGGCCTCACAGGCTCGATCAGCACGGTTTGCATGGATTCTCCGAGGCCTAATTGTAGAAATAGATGGATTTCTAGCCAAAAACCGGCTAGTCCAGCGTTTTCCGAGGGTCTCGTTATCTTCGAGCATTCTTCTAGCTAGTTTCCGAATTTGGGCGTGGGTTGGAGGGTGACCGAGCGACCCTTGGAATAGAATCCATTCGGTTAAGCGTTCTTCCATAGCCGGAGAAAGCTTTTGATTAAGAATTTGGGCCTTGGAGGCTGGCTCGGAACCACGAACCCGATTAAAGAGAGTAGTAGGGGGGATGCCGTGATTTTCAGCAGAGCTACGGAGTAAGCCGGTTTCTGCATACTCTGCCAGCGCATTCTGCAAATCCAACTGAGTATATCGCTTTATCTTTCATTTCTCAATTGAATGGAGAAAAGAAGATAAGTATTGAAGCAAAATTGGTCAAGTTGCAAGCGATTGAAATAGGTGAGCTGGGTGGCGAGCGGCAAGTCCTTGATGACAAACCTTGTTCCAAATCCAGGGGTGTTCCATAAGCAGACCACCTGACTTATTGCTTGACTCTTGACTTTTGGAATGGCCAAGACTGATGGAGAGGCGGTTCTGAAAGGGTCAAAACTGATAAAAATACAAAGGCAGAGAATGCCCGACTCGGTGAAGAGAACTCAGCTCACCAGTCCGGACGGCCGTTGGCTGTTGCCTGCGTGCCGGTGCTGTTGCCTACGTGGTGGAACATTTCTGTGATGGTCAAAGACTGAGAAAGGACCAGCAAAATGGCTCCATTCTGGAAATCGGCCAAGACTGGTATAAAAGCGGTATGGCTCGATTCTGGTGAAGGGGCAAGACTGGTGAAGAAAAAATACAAAGGGGAGAAAATGGTTGAAGGGAAAACGGAACTCGGCTCACCTGTCCGGACGGCCGTTGGCTCTTGCCTGCGGTGCGGGTGGCTGTTGCCGGCGCTGTACTAGCCTGGTGGCACGTTTTTGTGAATGGTGGAAGAAAGAATGCAGCAGAATGTTGGCTCGACTTTTGGAATAGCCAAGACTAGCAGAGTGCAGTATTTAAAGAAATGGTCAAGACTAATGAGGGGAAAGACAAAATGCCCGACTCGGTTGAAGGGAAAACAGTCCAGACGCTCGTTGGCTCTTGCCTGCTGTGCCAGCCCGTGAACTGTAGGACAGTGGATGCGAGGCATTTTCAGCAAAAGCGGGTACGGTGGGCACAAGCAAGGTCACTAAGAAGGGAGAATGACAGCGCGGTGGCACATTTTTTGTCAATGGTCAAGACTGATTCAGAGGCAGGAGAATGAATTCTTGGAATTGGTCAAGACTGCAGTATGGTGGCTCCGTTTTGTGAATGGTCAAGACTGAAGAGAAAAAGGAGATTGAAGGGAACTCGGTTGAAGGGAACGGCTCAACGGCGGGCTCGGTCGGGCTGACTCGTTTGGTCAAGACTGATGAAGAAAAATACAAGGAGAAAATGGTTGAACGGAAAACTTCCAAACAGTCTGGCTGACGCCGTTAGCTCTTGCCTGCTGGCCAGCCCGAACTGTGGGACAGTTAGGTGCAAGGCATTGCTGGTGAAGGCCAAAGTTTATTGACTCGAGGTTGTTGACCCCGATTGTTGACTCGAGGGTGTTGACCCCGATTGCTGTTGGGCTTGTAGTTTGTCTATCGCCCAAGTTCGTTTGCATCTAATTGTATCACGTATCTAGTCAAACGAGTTTCTTTTAGCTCGTATGATAACAAGAGATAGTCGCCACACAGATAAGCCGCAGCAACCGCCCGCGCCCAGCCAACAGCGCAGACAAGCCAGCAGCCCGCGCAGCAACACGACGCACCTAGCCAACAGTCCAACAACTGCCCGCGCCCAGCACCAGTCCAACAACCGCACGCCAGCCACCAGCCCGCTCACACGCGACAACACGCCCAGACAACACAACAGCCCGACGACAGCCAGGCCACGCAACAACCGCGCCAGCCACCAGCCCACATAGCAGCCGCCACAACATGACGCCAGACACCACCCCACACCGGGGAGCGTAGTCGGCCGCTATATCGACAAGCCGGAAGCTTCCCGCCTGTTCCGTCTCCCTGTTCTGTCATCAGGACACTTCGCTTGTCACGGTGCCAGTCACGATATAATACTAGTAAGTAAGATGCCATGTGCAGGTAGAGAGATATAATTCAGACTATGGTCATTGTGGGATTAACACGCGTTACTCGAGCTAGACTAGACAGATTTGTCTATACCTATTTGGCAGCAAGGATAAATAAGATTTGTCCTTGAGTCTGCCAAATGCGCCGCGTATTAACCTACCCTAGGGGATATGTTGCTAGCTCGAGTTTGGTTGCAAATAAGAGTGCCAGTGCAAATGTGCCAGTGCGACATGAGCCAGCTCGAGTTGGGTTGCAAGATGTGCCAGTGCGACATAAGCCAGCTCGACTTGTGGGTTGCAAGATGTGCCAGTGCCCGACATGAAGCCAAGCTCTCCAAAACAACCATCTTTCACATGCTGAAAACAACCATCCTTCACATGGCTATCTTACCAAGAGCCTTTCTGAATGCATCTCATGACAGTTTGCGCGATATGGTGATGTGGTGCTCGTCACTTTGCCCCCGTATCTGCTTTCTCGCATATACGTACTTGGGGAAGCCAGCGACCAACCACTCCTGGATATGTAGTGAGAGACCGAAGTTGTCGATGCTGTGAATGAATTTCCACATAAACGCCACGTCGGAAATTGGCTTGCTGTTCTCGTATTCTTTGATAGAAGAGTGGTAGACGCGTCTGAACTCGCGATTACTATGCAGGGTCCGTTCAAAAGAGCGGCCAGCCAAGCGCGTGCCGCCTTTCTGCTTGACAACTTGGCTGTTGACAACTTGGCCGTTGACAACTTGGCTGTCCTTGTCAACATTGCGGACAACAATCTGGCTCTCTTGCCAATTGTCTGGTTCGAGAATTAGGATGCTATCTTGGCTGACGTAGTGTGTACTTACCAGGTTGGGTCGCCATGTCAGCTACCTCGGCTTCATCGTCGAGGCTTGTATTGCTGACAACAGTCTGGCGCTCTTGCGTGTCTGGTTCAAGTAATTAGAATTGCTATCTTGTCTTCGACGTAGTATGTACTTACCAGGTTAAGTCGCTATGTCAGCTGCCTCAGCGAGGCTTGAATTGCTGATAATAGTCTGGCGCTCTTGCGTGTCTGGTTCAAGTAATTAGAATTGCCATCTTGGCTTCGACGTAGTGTGTACTTACCAGGTTGGGTCGCACCAGCCTCGGCTTCATTGTCGAGGCTTGTATTGCTGATGATGGGCTGATTTTGCCCTCTGGCTTCAATGCTCTCGTGTATCTTTACGAGGTCTTGCTTTAGACTAGCAACTTCAGAGAGGATTCGCTCTGACGTCGCCTTAGACTCGGCGAGAGCGGCCGCGATAAGTTGCTGGGTACGGGCAAGGTCGTTTTGCAATGAGGTCATGGAGGTGTTGGTTTGTCTGAAATGTCTATCGACGGCCCCTCTCAGACTCAATACTTCTTGGCCAGTAAACTGGGCACCTATATAGCTGGCCCAGCTATGGCTCAGTGCATAGTGGGACTCGAGGTTTGACGCTGGAGCTTCCGTCGTAGGAGCTTCCGTCGTAGACTGCGAAGACTGCGACATGTTGAATATCTGGCGGTATTAGAGATTTCAGAGATGGCACTGCTTGGGACTGATGGAACCTGACACTAACAATAAAGATAAACGATGGTAGAATATCTGGCGGTTGGTGCTGTCAAAGGTGATTCGGTCTTGTGGAGATGTTAGAGATGGTACTGCTTGAGACTGATAGAACCTAACTCTAGATTCACTGACAATAAAGATGAACGAATGTTGAATATCTGTCGGCGGCACTGGTACTATTAATGCACTAATACTATTAATAGTAATTTGATCTTCTGGAGATGTCAGAGATAGTAGTACTTCGCCAAACCGATGGAACGCTCATTGGTAGAATATAGTTGTGGACTTGTGTACGAAACCGAAATGAATAGAAATTTAGTGGTGGACTTTTTGCGAAACCGATGGAACCCTCGTTGGTAAAATTTAGTTGTGTGCGATGTTGCCCTAAATGGTATTGGGAAGGCACAGCATGAGAAGGCACGCCTGAGAAGGCACGCCTGAGAAGGCACGCCTGAGAAGGCACACCTGAGAAGGCGCAGCCTGAGAAGGCACGCCTGAGAACCTCTCGTTCCTCAGTCTACGGGAAAGAGCGACATCATGGCCTATTTCGACGCTTGCCTGTTACTATAGAGAAGGAGCGGGCAAGAGAACAAGTGGCAACAGGAAAGTCAATAACAGGACTCTCGGGCTGCCGCTAAGATCAGACAAGAAGCGAATAAGCAGACAAGCACGGGCAGCGAGAAGCAGACAAGAGGCAGACAAGCGGGCGAGCAGATGGGGGCAAGAAGTAGACGCGGCAGACAAACAGACAAGCACGGGCAGACAAATGCGGGCAAGAAGCAGACAAGCACGGCAGACAAACGCGGGCAAGACTCGGAATCGTCGAGCAATAGGGCACAAATCGGCAACAAGGCACAAGTCGGCAACAGGGCACAAGTCGGCACGGCACAAGTTGGCAACGGCACAAGTCGGCAACAGGGCAGGGCACATACAAGTTCCAGGGGCTGCGCGGCAACACAACACGGTCCTTGAACCCCGCAAGGGCAAAGACTGCCCTGTAGACACAGAGTAAAGTCGTTCGCTGTTGGCACTCGCTCTTGGCTGTCGACTTTTAAATCTTCCTCGGCCAAGTTTGCTGAGTAGATACAAGCTGACATACAAGTTTGCTGACACACAAGTTTGCTGAGTAGATACAAGTTTAGCTGACACACAAGTTTGCTGAGTAGATACAAGTTCAGTTGACGCACAAGTTTGCTGAGTACACAAGTTTCTGCTGTGGACTTGCCGTGCCACGTCACTTCCCGACTTTGCCTTTGGCTTCCACGTACTGATCCCGTGGGCAAGCGAAGCCCCTGCCTGTATTACACAGGCTGTAGCACCCGCTCCGGCGGTGAACTTTTTAAATATCCTCGGCGCCTCGATTGCTCATAAGTTCGCTGAGTACACAAGTTTGCTGAGAAGAGCAGTGGAAAGTTGTCGCTGCCGAAAGTTGTCGCTACCGGCACAGCACCACGCTAGACACCACACACTATAGCTGTTGTGTATAATGTAGCTCAATTAAAGTGTTGTAACTGGACAAGGAAAAAATGAAAGAAAAGTAGAGCTTACCCTTCGACCAACCGGTATTAGGCAACAATGTAAGCATCAAGGCCTCTATAGGGGCCGATTATCGTTGGTGGCCTAATTGGTGGCAAAATTCCGTCGGGAGGGCATTATTACGTAACAATAGCAGCCGCGCAACGCCACGCCAGACACCACACCATAGCAGCGCAACACGACGCAGATACCACGCCCAGAGCCCAGCAGCCCGCAGCAACCGCTTGCACCCAGCCACCACACAGCAGCCCAGACACCACACAGCGCCCACAGCAGACCCGCTTCATGTTCTAGTCCGAGGTCGGCGGCAGCGACGGGCGACGGTCGGCGGAGAAGGGCGAGTGGGATTGGCAGAGGGCGAGTGGGCGGGCGAGTGGTGGCGGGCGAGTGGGCGGGCGAGTGGTGGCACTGGGAGAAGGGCGAGTCCCCTGTCGGTTCGGACTGAGCAACGAGCATTGGCAGAGGGCAAGTGGGATTGGCAGAGGGCGAGTGGGATTGGCAGAGAGCGAGTGGTGGATTGGCAGAGGGTGAGTGGTGGATTGGCAGCGAGTGGTGGATGGGCGGGTGGGATTGGGACAAAGGAGAGCTGCTGGCAGCTACGTCTCCCCTGTTAGCACGGCTTGGTTTCTGAACAGCTGCCAAAACACGCCTGTTTCTGAAAAACTACCAAAACACGCCTGTTTCTGAACAATTGCTAAGGTGCAAAACATGCCAAGCCATAATAATCCATCACTTAACCAGTTTTCGGCGTACAGTTGGGCCCTGTTTACCGGTACCCTGGTGAATCCAACAGCCTCAATTCCGAGACATAGAAACATGAAACATGGACAAAAACGGACAACAAATATGACAAGTGTGCCAAAAATACAGACAAAAAGAGAAAACGCAAAAAGGTTTAGCAGCGACCCGTTTCGATCGAGTGACCTCTGGGGAATGCTCCCAGCGCGCTCCCTCTGCGCCACGCTGCTTGTTTGGTTGTTGCTTGTTTGGCTGTTGGGTACTTAAGATGGCAAATAAGACCAAGTAGCGACTCGATCGAGTCATGGCCAAAAAGACAGAAAAAAAGCAAAAGACATGAGGCTAAGTAGCGACTCGCTTCGATGAGCAGCGTCGCTTTGATCGAGTGATAAAGGCAGTTAAATAAAGAGGCAAAGCTACAAGTAAATAAAAGTAACCAAGGAAAGAAAAAGAAAGGAAGAAGCCTGCAAGTTACGCCTTGCTCAACGCTAGCCGAACCGGCTGTCTATCGGCCGGCTGTCCCGGCCGAACGCTTTGGGATTTTGCTGGTCGATCGCCCTCCGATTGCTCTTCATTTTGCCTGCCTTTTGCTTCCGCTTCTTGTCGAATTTCTCAAACCTGGCTCGGTTGGCAGCCTTCCTCGGTTTCCGGCCTCCCTCGGTTGGCAGCCTCCTGGCTCGGTTAGCAGCCTGGCTCGGTTGGCAGCCTCTGAGCTCGACTCGCTCGCGGCCAAAGGCCTTGATGGCGAGCAGTTGTCGCTGGCTTTTGTGGGCGTGGTGTCGTGTTGCGGCGGCTGCTGTGTCGTGGGCTGCTGTATGAGCATGTGGCTGCATGCCGGTTGTTGCTGGGCTGCTGGCTGCACGCCGGTTGTTGGGCTTGTTGGCTGGGCGCGCGGTTGTTGCGGTTTATCCGCGTGTCGTGGGCTGCTGTGTGGGGGTGTTGCCTCGTTGTTGCCGTGGCCCAGGCCTGAACACGTCGGGACTCGAGCGGAGACGGCGGGACTCGAGCTGGCCAGACTTGACGGCTCTCAATCTACAGTCGTTGAACCATTCCACTGAGCGGTTATCGGGGCTATATCTCGCTCCCGTATCTGGCGTATACCCTCCCATTCTTTTCTATTATCTGGCGTGGACGCCCTCCTATTCTGTTCTAATCTTCACTTCTGTATCTGCGTGGACGCCCTCCTATTCTGTTCTCTTCCTCATTTCTATATCTGGCGTGGACGACCCTCTGCTGTTAGCCACGGTACGGGTCGTCTCGACCGTCGGGCGTCGGGGCTCTGCTCTAGACAAAGACATCTCAGTACTGGGGCCGTCGTGGCCAGATCGTGATCGGGGGAGCAGAAGCACAATCGGAAAGGGGGGTTACGAAGCAAAAAGGAATGACCTCTCCACCTGGCGGGCGACCCTCTGCTGTTAGCCACGGTACGGCTCGTTTCTCAACCTCTAGACAAAGACAATGGTGGCCATCGTGATCGGGGGAGCAGAAGCACAATCGGAAAGGGACTACGAAGCAAAAAAAGACCATTTATTAGACTCGCAAGCGGCGTCAGAGCGGCCATTTGGCTGATGTTGGCCCACGATTCACTTGCCGGGGCTAACCCAAAGGTGTTGAGCGTCTCCCTGCGGCCCCACGGCAGAGGTGGAGGGTGGCGCTTTCCGAGAAGATCAGCCCGAGCGGGGTACCGGCAGTGTGCTACAGGGGGGTGCCACAGCGCAGATATAAACGCCGAACAGCAGATTAGAAAGACGACGAACAATGCAGAACAGCAGATGGAAGACGCCGAACAATGTGCAGCAACACAAAGGTAGAAGAGAAGACAAGCGAACACAGCAGAAGACGCAGCGAACCCAGCACATTTCAGCAAGAACAAAACTCTACGTAGACGCGGAGAAAGACGCAGCGCAAATGGAAGCGCCAAACAGCCCAGTGTGCACATGTTGAAAAACGTTGGACGAGAGACTTGCGTGACGTGTTCAGTCTGAACCAGGAGACCAGCACATGCAGTCCTCCACATGCAGCCTTCACATGCCAGACGCGCGCCACCCCACGCATCAAGAAAGACCAGCAGCCAGCACTTCCCACGGAGCATATTCCCAGACAGTGCTAGTCTCACACTTCAGATAGCCCACACGGGCATATTCTCAGACAGTGCTAGTCTCACACTTCACATAGCCCACACGGGCATATTCCAAGCCCCGAAAGCTTTGGGAACAAGAAAGACCAACCCAGCGCAGTCCGAAAGCTTGTTCCCAAATCCTCTGCCACTGTTTTCCCTTCAGGGGCATTCTCTCCTTTGTATTTTTTTTTCATTTGTCTCGACCGTTCACCAGAATCAGCACCACACTACTGCATCAGTCTTGAGCAATTCCCCCTCTATCAGTCACCATTCACAAAAATGTGCCACAGGCTGGCACGGTTCACGGGCTGGCACCGTAGGTAAGAGCTAACGGGCGTCCGGACTGTTTTCTATTTTCCCTTCAACCATTTTCTCTTTCCCCTCATCAGTCTTGACCATTTCTTAGAATTGGCCAATTCTAGGAATGGACTCTCTATCAGTCTTTGACCATTCGCAAAAACGTGCCACCGGGCTGGCACGCAGGCAACAGCTACCGGCACACAGGCAAGAGCCAACGGAGTTGGGCATTTTCTACCTTTGTATTTTTTCCTTCAGTCTTTGCCCAATCACCAGAATCAGCACCATATTGCACTGTATCAGTCCTGGCCAATTCCATGAATGCTTGGCCTCTGTGACGTCGCAGGGAGCTGAGGAGGCCAGAGGAGCCTCTCCGGAACCATTCGTAGCCGCAGCTTCAGCAGTCCCCATGTCTTCTATAGCTGAGTCACTTGTGACTGCTGCCTCTCCTGCCACTCCTGCCGCACCGGCCTCTGGTACTGGCGCAGCCATGTCGGGGCGGTCGGGCTCTGCTCGCGGTATTCCCTCGCCTTGCTCACCATACCCATTTTACACGAACTACCTCACCTTATCTATATCCTATTCCCTTACCTAAACGCGATACCAAACGAATTTGCAGACAATATAATTTAACCAGTACCTAGTAGTAGAAAGCTATCAATTTTCCAACGATGCCGAGGTTAGTAACCCTATATTCTCGCGCCGTGTTAGACGAGTCTTGCCGTGTTGGGCGAGTCTTGCCGCGACCATCTTACCTATCCCGTCTTGCCCATCCCGTCTTGCCGTCTTGCCGCCGTGGCTAAGTCGGCTATTCCCGTCTTGTCCATCCCGTTGTACCCATCTCGTCTTGCCGTCTTGCCGCCGTCGACTACCTAGATACGCGATGCAAACAAATTATGTTTCTCGGTGACTTAATAGCTAATCAACAAACGTTTCTCGGTAACTCAATAGCTAATCAACAAATGTTTATCGGTGACTCAATAGCTAATCAACAAACGTTTATCAGTAACTTAATAGTTAAATTTCAATGGATAGATAAATAGCTACAAGCATGAATAGCTGCAAGCCGCTGCCCTTCAAGTAGAGTTCGCACTCATCATCAGCATCCACAAAGCTCTCATCATCAAGATCCACCAAGCTCTCATCATCGGTATCCACCAAGCTCTCATCATCAGCATCTACCAAGCTCTCATCATCAGCATCTACCAAGCTCTCATAATATCACCAGCACTACAGGAGATATTCACCTACCAAGACAATCATACCTATCCCCTAACACTCACTTACACTTCCGCCAGTCATTATGTGCGAGAAAACCATTGAAACCTGGCCTTGTGGGAGAAGCCGCGAGTTGGAGCCCCCGGGTGGCATATGCTCGGTTGCTGCGGTCAAGGGTCAGAGGTAGTTGTAAGGAAACCACTCTCGTAGCCACTATGGCCACCGCCACCAGGGCCACCCTCGCCACCATCGCCACTATCGCCACCGCTACCAGGGCCACGCACTATCGCCACTACCACTCTGGCCACGCAAGAATGACTCGTAACCCCTTTCACGTATATATAGACCATGGCCTTCGCACACCTCTTTAGCTCAGGCCAGGTTGAAGTCTTACGCCAATACCAGTCATTGCTCGCCCTGCTTGTTGCTCCTATTGTGACCACCTTGATCAGCCGTACCTGCCTTCTCTTACACAGGACATTGGAACGTTTACTAGACCACCAAAACTTGGATTCACTCCCTAGAAGTAGCTACCTCATAAAGTTCAGTACTGCGAATAAGCGTAAAGTACTTCGTTACGTTTGAACAGATCCCAAAATCAAGTAGAAAACTCTCCGCCGCCTTTTAGGCCAAGATGGCGTCTCTATCTCTATCAACGTACTCCGACTCATTATCGACGCGTCCAGCATAGGGCGCTGGCGTTCCCCAGAGAGGCCAAAGCTTATGAAAAACGATATACGCCGCAGATTTGGCTATTACCGCTCCTGGCTCCAGCGAGAGACCGAGCTTATAGAGGCAATATATACCGACGAATACTCAATTCAGAACGACCTAAATAAAGGTTCTGGGTGTGTTTTTCGTTATAACTACAAGAAATTTGATAGACGTATATATTACAAACCACTCGACTGTTAGGGTCGTATGTCTGAAAGGGAGCACGGGCTCCACAGGATGCTGGGGTTGGTAATTATGAAGATAGAACAAAGGGCAAGCTCCTATCGCACAGGTAATACAGTCAAATTGGAATGCCACTCAAAGTGTATGAGTGCAGTGAATGTGTATTGCTTGCTTACAGAACCAAGCAAGAACTACCTTAGACCGTGGGTACGGTCATCGTATATATCTATCTGTAGAACTAATAAAAATGGTCGCAGGGTCCCGGCCCCTGTGTCCCGCGAACGGGAAACGGGACACCTCTTATTGGCTGTCAACCAGGCCTGGTCCCATGTCCCGCGCCAGAGGCGTGGGACACTCCTGATTGGCCGAGATTGACTCAGCAGGACCCACCGAGGTGCATCTCTTCAGAGATCCGTAACACCAAGCTTATCTTTATGAAGAGAGATCTAGATGTCACGAGCTCCCGTGGCACTGGGCGCAGCACGCCCTAGTGGGGCACCGGGATCGGGAGCAGGGTAGTGGAGCCTCAGGCCACCACACGCTAGCGGGCCCGAGAGCATGCAGGAAGCAGTTCGGGCCTGGCCCGAACTGGGGCAGCTCTGTCTCTGGGCCTGGCCCGAGCGGAGGAGGCGTTGCCTCCGAGCCTGCTCTCATTGGCCAGCCATAGATAGATATATACGACGACCGTGGCACCGCTCTTAGATAGTTTTTGCTTGGTTTTTCAAGCAAGCAATACACATTCACTGCACTCATATACTTTGAGTGGCATTCCGATTTGACTGTATTACCCGCGCAATAAGAGCTTGCCCTTTGTTCTATCTTCATAATTACCAACCCCAGCATCCTGTGGAGCCCGTGCTCCCTTACAGACAGACGACCCTAACAGTCGAGTGGTTTGTAATACTAGACTCCCCCTGAGGAGGATATAGCTCCATGAGTGTTACGGCAAGGCCAAAACCCGCTGGTTAGGCGCATCGGTTTTAGGCTTTGTGGCTCGTGCACTCTTGTAAGAGCTCTACTCCCCACCACTGCCTCAGCACATGACCTTACACGTGATCCCTAGAGCTCACAACTATTTCCCCACGGCCGCCCAGCCGGTCTCGATTCCTTCCTTCTTTCTTTCCTTAGCTTTAGATTCTACGAATACAGCCTGGAAAATGCAGCCTTGTCTCATTCAATCGACCGTTGTCACGGCAGGTGCAGACAGCTGACCAGATTTGGGTAGTGGTCCGTGCACACCATAACCACGTGACCCACATCACAACCCACTTCCCCTGCGCCCCGCCTAGGCCTTGGAAGCTTTCTTTCCTTTTTCCTTCTTTAGCTTTAGATTCTACGAATACAGCAACCACATTGCAGCCCTGCCTCTTTACAGTTGACTGTGCGGTGACAACCGTGCGGTGATAATGAGGTATATTTGGGCGCTAGAAGAAGGTCTGCTTCCTTACCTGCAGTCCGGCGAGGCTGAGGGAAGGTTATTTCAACAAGATAATGCTTCTATCCACACTTCACGCTATTCCAAGGCCTACCTCGTAGGGCACGGCATTGAGCTGATTGTGACGGCGGTCAACAGCATCTAGGAAGAAGAGTCGCTAGTATGGCTATACCATTGTCTTAGGATTCTAAAGTAAAGAAAGAAAGAAGGAAAGTCTACAAATATCACGGCTCAGTCAACGTAAGGAGACAGGGCTGCAGTAATCATCGCTGAATTCGTAGAATCTAAAGATGAAGAAGGAAGCTATGACGGGGACCGCGCAGGGCGCGGAGAAATGGGTAGTTGTGGGCCACGTGATACGTCAGTATTACAAACCACTCGACTGTTAGGGTCGTCTGTCTGTAAGGGAGCACGGGCTCCACAGAATGCTGGGGTTGGTAATTATGAAGATAGAACAAAGGGCAAGCTCCTATCGCACGGGTAATACAGTCAAATCGGAATGCCACTCAAAGTGTATGAGTGCAGTGAATGTGTATTGCTTGCTTGAAGAACCAAGCAAGAACTATCTAAGACCGTGGCTACGGTCGTCGTATATATCTATCTAAGGCGGACCAATCAGAGTCCTTGGTGTCTGCGCTCCGTGGGTCCAGGGCGCTCTGCTCGCAGAGCGCAGGGGCCCCACAGAGCGCCCGCTCCGTCCGCTCTGCTGGTCTTGGCAGCTAATCGAACAGAGCGCTTCCTGGTTGGCCGCACCCACACGGGGTGGGGTCTGTCCGTCTCCACCACGTCACCCAATCACGGGACGGAAGCAGGGCGCCTCATGCACCCTGAACCAGGATCGTAACAGTCAGGCACGGACCACACTCCAAACAGGAGCCTGTCCAGGCCATGCCGTGACAACAAAGGTACGATCGAGGGTGCGGGGGTATAGTGAGGTGCCGAGAGCGCACGGGCCATTATGGTTTGCCCTGCCAAGGCTCGTGACACTAATCAACTAGCTACCTCACAGCTCAGATTTAAACCTAATCAAGCATATTTGGAAGCGTTTGAAGGACCTGGTGGATAAAATATATCCTGAATTTGAGGACCTGAAAGATAAATAGGCTAACAGAGCTCTTGCGATTATGTGGATTAAGGTGGCGTGGGTAGCTATAGATTAGGAGTTTATTCGGGCGCTTTTGGAGTCTGTGCCCCGCCGGCGCCTTCCAGTGCGCCGGGCCAGGGGCTAGTATACGATATATTGAAGATCTGTCTTTAGGCTTCATTTTGATACTGTTTTTATCTCAGTAGGTGGTAAGTTGAGTAAGAAATGGATGGTTGAAGAATGAAGTGTCAGATCGTGGAAGTTAGTGGGGTGGCCTGTGCACACTGACTTTTGTATGGGGGTGTAGCAGATAAAAGCAAGCAAAGTCGTGGCAGCAAGTCGTGTGCAGCGAGTGGTAGCGAGAAGTCGTGGCAGCAAGTCGTGTGTAGCGAGTGGTAGCGAGAAGTCGTAGCAGATAAAAGCAAGCACAGAGTCGGTAGCGAGCAAGCAAAGTCGTGGCAGGGTAGCAAACTCGTGGCGGAGTAAGCAAAGTCGTAGTAGCAAGCAAAGAGTAGCAGTAAGCAAAGTCGTGGCAGATAAGAAAGCAAGTATCAGAGTCGGTGTAGATAAGAAATTAAGCATAACACAGAAACTAAGCATAACACAACGCAAGCATCACAGTATTCGTGCCGAAGCCAAGACGGCGCTGCCGTCCAGCTCAGGTGAGCTCGCAGTCTGCCCTTGGGCACCCACGCCCGCACCCGCACACACACCAGCACCCACACCCGCACCCACCCGCACCCACGCCCAGCACACCCACACCTACACACAAGACGGACTGGCAGACTAACAGCACCAAGACAGCGACAGAACAGATTGACACACACAGACACAAAGACAGATTGACAGCTAGATAAGATGGACGACAAAGATGGATTAACACTAACACCCGCACACAAGACAGATGGCAGACTGACAGCACCAAGACAGCGACAAAATAGATTCACACACACACACACACACTGTGACGGCGCCAGCTCACAGCACCCACTACCGCTGCGCTAGAACCCCCAAAAGGATGCCAGAATTGCAAGTCGTCGACTTGCAACCTGTAGTGGGTTATAGTGTGCTACGGCCGTTGCGCGCCGTGACACACACACACACACACACGCACGCACACACGCGCATATATAAGATAGACTCTGGTACCAAGGTAACGAAAAAGATAGATTAATATTAGATAGACAATAAAGACTATACCCTAGCGCCGGCACACCCGCTCGAGCGACGCGCCACAGTACTGATCAAAACCCTCGAGGATGCTATCCTCCTCGCCCCCGCCATCCCCCTCCACATCCCACACCTCCCGGCTCGACGACGCGATGCAGCAACCGCAGTCGGCGAGTACGGCGCTCGCGGTGCTGCACGCGCTGTCGACGTCGGCGATTTCCGACAGCGTGGGCGTGTCGGGCTGCTCGGTGTCGACGGCGGCGGCGATTTCCGTGCGCGTGTCGGTTTGCTTGCCGCGGCGCCGCTCGCTCATGGGTGCGGGTGCGCGACGCTTGAAGACGGCTCGCCACCGGGGTAGTGGCATGGGGCTGCGCGGGGCACGGGAGCGCACGATGAGACACGGCACGGGAGCATGGAACAGTTTGGAACACACCTCGCTTGCTTGTCTGCATCCATCGCTGCGCGGGGCACGGGAGCACGATTGCCGCGTCGCTGCAGCACGATTGGCTGCGTCGCTGCACGATTGACGCTGCGTTGCTGCAGCACGATTGGCCGCGTCGCTGCACGATTGACGCCGCGTGCGTTGCTGCAGCCAATCAGCGACTGGGAACAGCACCTGAGAACAGCACTGACTGGGGTGTGCCTTGCAGTTCTGGGACGTGCCTTGGTTGTTGACTGGGTGCCTTGGTTCTGGGACGCTTGGTTGCAGTTCTGGGAGTGAGATGCTGCGCTTCCTGCATGTGCTAGCGCTGGGATGACGCACACGATGCTGCGATTGTGCCAGCGCTAGGACGACGTACACGATGCTGCGATTTACATTAGCGCTGGAGATAACGCTGTGATTGACATTAGCGCTGGAGATGACGCACGATGCTGCGATTGAGATGAGCGATGAGATGACGCACATGATGCTGCGATTGTGTGCCAGCGCTGGAGATGACGCTGCGATTGACATTAGCGCTGGAGATGACGCACACGATGCTGCGATTGATGTGCGAGCGCTGGAGATCACGCTGCGATTGACATTAGCGCTGGAGATGACGCATACTACGATTGACATGAGCGCTGGAGATGACAACACGATGCTGCGATTGACATTAGCGCTAGGATGACGCACACGATGCTGCGATTGACATTTACCAGCGCTGGAGATGCGCACACGATGCTGCGATTGACGCAAACGACTCTGAGATGCGGCGCTGCAGATGACGCACACGATGTTGCTTTGTTGCTGCAATTACCGTTTGTGCCACCCAATTCCACGACCGTTTGCTGTGCGAGTTCTGGAGATGCACGACCCCGATGCTTGTTTGCTGGCGATGGCGTTGTTTGCTGGCATGGCTGGCGATGGCGTTGTTGCTGGCGATGGCTGGCGATGGTGCTGTTGCTGGCGTGGCTGGCGATGGCGTTGTTGCTGGCGATAGCTGGCGATGGCGTTTTTGCTGGCGATGGCGTTGATTCTGGCGATTTCGGGCCGCACCGAGATGTGGGCGTCCCGAGCTGCCGGCGCGATTGACATGCACTGCAGCTTCACCGACGTGGTACAGAACATGCGGGACGCTGACCGACGTCGTATTGTCCATGCAGGCCGCTGACCGACGTTACACTGCAGCTTCACCGACGTTGCACTGCAGCTTCACCGACGTGGTACAGAACATGCAGGCCGCTGGCGAGTTCTGATTGACGCGGCGCGACAGCGTTGGAGATTGACGGGCGCGACAGCGCTGCAATTGACGAGCGCGACAGCGTTGGAGATTGACGCGGCGCGACAACGCAGACAGAATAACAGCTAGATAAGATGGACGACTAAGATAGATCGACACCCACACACCAGCATAACAGCACCAAGACAGCGACAAAGACAGATTAACACGACAGCACTGGAGATTGACGCCGCGCTGCATCGCTGCAGATTGACACGGCGCGATTGACGGGGCGCGACAGCGCTGGAGATTGACGCGACGCAGATTGACGCGGCGCGACAGCGCTGGAGCATCGCTGCAGATTGACACGGCGCGACAGCGCTGAAGATTGACGGGCGCGACAGCGCTAGAGATTGATGCGGCGCTGCAGCGCTGCAATTGACGCGACGCAGATTGACGCGGCGCGACAGCGCTGGAGATTGACGAGCGCCGCAAATTGACAATTGCCAGCC